TTTGCTGGGTGCAGCTTAAGAACTATTTTGCTCATTTAAAAATATGTATTTTGAAGAACAGAAACCTTATCACAGTGGTGTTGCCATGAAAAATCTCTAGCGTGAGAGCTATGACCTCCATTTCCCTGCACCTCATCAAGCTTTGCATGATGAGCAAGTTAACCCTGCTGCTCGATTTAGGGACGACACAGGCTGCACCTCTTGCTCAGATGCAACTTAAAAGCAGTGTTTAACTGTAGGAAAGCTGGCTCTTACTTGCCATCTCCTAGTTATAGTTGTATTCCCTCCAATGCAAAAAATAAGATATATCTATATATGTTTTCCTGACTACTTCTATTGAGGATTCTTGGTGTACCTTACAGACTGATGTTCTGAGCTTCCCAGTCACACATTAAGACACCTCGCCTGAAAGAGGTGTAATGATGAGCACAGGGGTAATGATGAGCCAATGTTGGAAAGGATTTGAACCCTGCTTCAGTATTTGTATATTAATTCAGGCCCACACCTACCCATTTTACTCTGAGAACTGTTTATAATAAAGGGAAGTTTATTTATTAAAAAAGATAAATGCAGCACCTAATTTTCATAATTCTCCTGATCCCTTTTTATATTGTATTATTCAATGCATTTCTAAAGCTTTCTCTTGAAGGAGAAGGAAGGAACGTTCATTTTAAACTATTATTTTATGCTGTTCATTTGCTACTGATTAAAATAGTTTGAGTGATTTATGACATCATTTAAAGCTCCTGCAAGAAAGGTGGGGCTGAAAAAACATCATGTTGTTTGAAGATTGTGAGATTTGAGCTGTGATGGAAGACAATACAAGTTGTCTTGGATCTTTCAAGGAGAAGAACTCCATGTCTCTTAAATTCAAATATTAACTTTTGTTTTCTGGACTGTTTCCTTGAATGTAGCTAACATGGTAAGGAATGGAAAAAATCAGTACTGGGATACTGGACTGTAATTCAACTAACCTTTAACAAAAAGGACCAAGGTAAGCAGGCAAGTTCCAGAACTTGGTTGTGATGTCTTCTTAGAAGGCAGACACCAGCATTGCGTTATCAAATGCAGTTTCTGAATGGGTTTCGTGCATTGCAGGAGTGCAGTCTGGAAAAGTTTACTGAATGAATTCAGCTATCAAGGATGATTAGAGACATCTTCCCAGTGATTTGGTTACTAAATGATGAAAGATGGCACTGCTGCTGCCATGTGGTGCTGCACAATAAATCGCAGCTCTATGACTGGGCACTGTCACGGCTGAAAACAGGACCCAAGTGAAGATGGCATTAGAATTTCAGGCAGTTACTTATAATTCATTCTGTTCTCAGCCTCTGTACTTTGTGATGGTCCAGCTGGGATTGCCCTTAAGTACCCTGCTTGTTTTGTTCAGGTCCTCGTTTCACAAGTAGTCTTATGCAGCATCAGCAAAACTTTATTGTCCCCATTTGCATAGAAGTAGATGCAGAATCAAGGATCAGAGAAGAGCTGGGAAGTATAATGTAATATTCCTCAAAGGTCGTGCATTTCTGAAATGACACGTTTGAGCCCTTTGAGACTTTGCAGCTCGAACTGATGGTAGGAAAATGAAGCAGTTGCCCATCACAGCCTTCAGAGATCTAGCATAAATGTTTTCAGTTACATCTGTCCATTTCTGCCAGGTCTGAAAGTGTATGGGAAGCTCCTTTAATCAGTGGAGTTAACTGTTGATGAATATAGAGATTGATAAGCCTGTGTGACACTGGGTAAATGTTCTGAGGAGACCGTGGATCCATGTGGTGTATTTTTGCAGAAAAAAGATAGTGGATTTAATCCAGCAGAACTTGATTTACTCTACCTTCTCTGTGAATTTGTCCAACAAAGAAGTCTTAATACAAACGTAGGACCCGAGAGCATTAGCATCCCTGTTTTCCCTCACACCTTTCCCACATAATGTGCTTCAGGCATTTGTTTTTTCCCTACAGGTAGTTTGGGGCAGAGAGTTCATCTGTGTGCATGAACACGAATGTATGCAGATTTATATACACGCATAGAAGCTATCACATATACACAAGGTGCTGGATGCTTCTAGTATGTTGGGAGGCATTAGCAAGCTAGATAATCCCTAAGGGCTTTCACCACCCAGCAAGGCAAGACACAATCCTATCCTTGACAGACTTGCTTTTCAGAGGACTGGTCCAAAATCAGACAATGGGAGTTCTTCATTCCATTATTTTCTTGTCAGGGAAACCCTTCCAAAAGTTTACAATCCTCCCTGCAAATCGATGTGCAAAGCTGCATCAAAGCCCACAAGTCTCTGGATGAAAGGCTTGCAGACCATTTCTGCAGCTTGACGCTGCGAAAAACCCTGAACTGAAAGAAAAGTCAGTTCAGTGTTAGAAATGGAAGTTATTTGTCACAATTACAGTCAGACCTATTTGCTTGCCACTTGTTGTCCAACACCCTCATGCATAGACTAGCTACTGCCACTAGCAAATGCTGAAAACTTTAGAAGCAAAGTTCACAAAGCAATTTGAAAGCTCGCGCTTTGGCAGCAGGTGACTTTTGCCTCAGTCACTGGATGATTTGCCTTGTGGTGGAGGGTTCCCCAGCTAGGCTGCCATGCAATCCAAGTCATTTTTCAAGAGCATGTGGATTTTGTAGGAGATTCATTCAGTCAGAATTTGTCATCTCTGTGCCCGAGCCATGATGTGTGTGTTTACCCCAGCTATGACAAAGATCCAGCCGTTTGTTTCCCTGTGTGTGGCACTGGAGAGGCTGCGTGGGAGACTTGAGCTTGCCTTGTATGGGAACCCACTGCTTACAGAGACACCAGCTCATGTTTTAACTAGGACCTGCACAAGAATCCCTGCACAATGCAAGGAAGGTGCAGAGATGGCATACCTGTACTGATCCTGCTCTGCATTAGTCAGTGTTTGGCTTTACTGTCATTTCCAGCTGTTTGTCTGTAGTGTAAACACAGGGCTGAGTGAGTCAGAAGCAAGCCCTTCATTGCAGAAATCTCTTCGGTCTTTACAGACTGTGAATATCCTCTTTGTACTTCTGTACTGCAGCTGGGGGCAGTTTGTCAGAAAGTTCAGTGGCTGTCACAGAAGGTGAGGGGGTTCTCGTGGATCTTTTAGTTCCGTGTTTGCACGTAATCGGAGAGGGTGCTTTAAAAGGTAACAGAACAAAGATGGCATGGGAATTATGTTGTGTATTATAATATAACCTACCTGTGCAACTTGCTACTGAAAGACAGGAGAAACAATCATGACCAACAAAGTTCTGAAAAGAACAGAAACACAAAGAACAGGCAGAAAACAGCTGAGTGGCAGCACTCATGACGTCTGGTTTTACAGGACCTTGAATCGTGTTACTCCTTCGTCATTCTGCAGCCACCATACATATTTCTTTTCAACATCACTTCCCTCCTCCCTCAAAAAATTACCTGGTATAGTTAGCCATCAGCTGGGTAAGAGACTACATGCACTGCGAGGGTGCACGACCCCAAAACCATGCAACCACCAGTTGCCCAAGCTAGCTGTTGCCTTTTGGCTACCGGGCAAGCCTCCCAGCCTGTGCTGTGTGCTGCTGCTGGCAGACCAAACATGTAGCTTCAGGAGCTGCGGTCAACCCCTGGACCCTGTCCTGCAGAGAGCTGTCAAAGGAACTTGGGGTTGTTGAAGCCGTTCATCTGATTTGACTAAAATTGGCCAAGAACCAGAGGTTACTGGGATGCAGGGGGGGATGGCAGCTGACAGCAATCACAGAAGCCCTTCCTCAGGCGAACCATGACATGAGTAAGCATGAGTCAGAGCACAAACTGATGAACCTAAAATTACCTACAAGGATGAATACAGCCTAACTGGCCCAACACATTACGGGCTTTCTGCTTACTCTGGAATTGACAGTTTTTTGGCGTTGGGTGCATGTGGATTTACAACTTAACTCTAGGCCAGCAATAGTCAGATAGCTCCGATTGTGGGTGGTGTTTGTTTTTTTTTTTTCTTTTGATTTGGGTCTGCTGCTTTTGCTTTTAGATGGAGATTCGGCAAGAACCTTCTTCCCTACATCGCAGCCTCTAGGCATTACTGATTTGGTGCTGAAGCTCTATTTTCTTCTCCTTGGCAGCTCCTTGCCCCTAGCATTGAATCCAAGTTGATGCTCCAGCCCCCTCCCCTCCGGCATCATTTCCAGGCTGTTGTGTCAAACACAAAACAAATACTCAGTGGCTCAGAGCTCCTTGCATCCAGGAGAAATTGCATTTTCACACTGGCTCTGGGCTTCCTCTGCAGAGCCAAAGCAAAATTAATGCTGAAGTTAATCTCTTTGCCCCTACCACGCACATCCTCATCAATGGTGGAGCCAAAAAAAGATTGAAGAAGTCTTACAGAAAAAGACTGAATTAACCTTTTCTGTAAATTTCTCTGAGATGGGAAATATCCTTTTAGCTTTCTTTTCTTCCTCTTTCCCAGTTGCTGCATTAGGGAAAAGTCTTTCCTGAAGCAGGAAGAGTGCCTTCTTCTTCCTTCTACTAATGCTGGAAGTTTATTTTGAGGAGAAATTTCATACCCGTGCATGTTTGTCCAGGATTGCCATATAGCTAGTAACTAGACCAAATGGGTAGCAGAGCTTGTTAGAGTAACTGCTGCCGATTCAGAAGCAGCCAAGAATAGCTGCAGCCTCTCCTAGGGGTGAAGTATAGAAGTCTGGAGCTCCAGGGGACCCTTCCTGTGGTGCATGGCATTACTGTTATGGCTGTAGGAATGTGCTTGTGTGAAACTAGATGCAAACACCTGGAAATGAAGGCAGCAAATAATGCTGAACTGCCAGAAGAAGAAACAGCAGTGAGGTTTCTGGTCTGACTTCCCTCTTTTCAGGTGTCAGGAACTCCAACGTACCGGTGCATTCTTGTGCACTGTTAACTTGTGAGGCAGACCTCACCACGATCCTTCTCCCTTGCTGCAGGAACATCGCCCTTCTTATTTGCAGTAGTGACTCTAGCACGTATTCTCCTACAGGCTCCTGGACTGTCCAGCCAGAGAAAGGAGGCGCTGTGGTGGTGCTGAGGAGTCTGCTGTGGCCGGGACTGACGTTCTACCATGTCCCAATGACTAAGCAGTATGGCTACGTCTACTTTGGCACTGGTGAGAAGAACTTAGATCTGCCTTTCATGCTGTGACATGCTTCTCTGTGATGAGGACTTAAGAATATTTAGATTTTACACTTTGGAGATTTTGTTTATTGCTTATTCTATAAATGTATAAAACCTCTGCACTTTAAGCAGTATTCTTTTGTGCCTGGACTCTGGCCTCAATTCTTGTCCTAGGTTGGAAATCAAACCCACGCAATCTTTTTGTGTACAAAGACACCACAACTCATCTGGAGGCAACACAAACCAATGCCTGCTGTCACCCATGTATGCCAAACAAAATTAGAGTTTCTACCTGCTTTTGGAGTCAAAGTAGACAGCTGGTGCATACTCTAAGGGATCCTTACTAAACCCTGAACTAGAGAAAGGCCTATTGAAGACAGGGCTGATTGTTTTGTGTTTCGGGTGTTAGGCTTCACCAAAATTAGAGGGGTCTTTCCAGCTCATGGCACAAAAATTTAGGAAAAAAAATAACTGTAGGCATCACCTAGTTGTTTGCAAAATTTTCTCATTTGGTTTCACTGCAAGGCTTTATCCAGTGACTTTTCCATTTGTAGAACTCACCAAGCTGAGCTACCTGGGCTAGAAGACATTAACTTCTGCACACAGCAGAAGAAAGAAAAATATTTTTGTTTCTGAAGGGCTCTGGGTTTCAAAGCTTCATAAAACAATGATGGTCAGACAGAGATTTTATCTCAGTATAGAATGAAGAGTTTGTTCTGTCTCCCAAAGCCAAAAAATCTTGGCCAGCTTAAGAGACTGAATCTAGGGCTTCCATTTAAACAAAGTGAGACTAAAAAGAATCATTTTAATCTAATTTCATTTCCTGGGTAATATGGGTTTATCCTCATCCTTTGTTCCCGTCAATGCTGACAAGTATTAACTGATGATTCTGATGAAAGGAGTACATTCAGTGTTGATTTGTAGCTCAGATAAGTATCAAGAAAATGGAGCCAATAATGACCCTGATAAATTTAATGAGCTTTTCATATGAGGCCCTTAGCTAGCACTCTTAAGCAGAAGCTGTCAGTGGAAGACGCACACATGTATCATACAGGGAGAGAAATGGTGCCACCTGTTAGTTATAGGATGGAAAACTGTGCACATCTCTCAGCCTGAAAGTTTCCTAGGAAGCAGCCCCATCACTGAAAAGGAAGACTTGTGGTAAATGTATTTGCAAGGAGAAAAAAAAACAAGAGGCCAAGTTGTCAAGAACATCAGCATTCTGTATTTGCTAGATCCAGGAGGGACGCACAGGCTAGGAATCCTGAAGATGTCATGTAAGACATACACATGCCTGTCTGCCACCGCCCAGACATTCTGCTGCAAATTACGGACAGTACAGATTATAAAAATATTTCACTTCAGTAATCATTCATATCATTTCCATTACTGCTGAGAAAACAGCGCTGCAGGAGGCTTTTTCTTCCATCAGTGTCACAGATATAGGAGCCCAAGTAAAGCAAATCTGAGTTGAAACACATTAATGGGCATTAATATTCATTTCTGGGAAAAGAAGGAAACAATCTTTTCCAAACCCAGTAGTAGACTATAACGAAACAGAAACCTTGGGGTCCTTTCTGGCTTTGAGGACAAGTCTTTGTCTCCTGCTTTCTCCAAATCATTCTGAATGCTGAACTCTGCTGGATGTCGTGTCTTCTCCTAGAGAAGCAGACCGAAGCTCATTCACTGGAGACAATACAGGACACTAATGACAGTTTTGGAATTTGGAAATTGGAGATACTGACGAACTTGCAAAAAAAAACAAACCAAAACAAAAAACCAGAACAGTGTAAAACAGCTGTACTCATTGACTATGCCAGTTCTGGACCCTAGTGGTTGAAGTTAAGAGGCTTGTGTGTATATTTGACATTATCCTTCAGCAAGGGGTGTCCAACTGGCATGGGGACTTTGCACCACTTAGGGCCTCTCGTCCAGATGGGCTTTGCAGATCTGACGGACCAGCGGGTCAGATACCTGTCAAAACAACACAGAGACATTTCAATTTGGGACTGATCACTGAGAAAAGGTTTTGAGTGAAGCAGGGACACACACTCCTCTGTCTGCCTTTGCCTCCCCACGTGCCTCTTCGAGAAAGCAATTACAAACGAGCACAGCACCCTCAATTCAGAATGGACCACTGAACATCCCCTATGTTTTGGCACTGCTGTACCTCTGTGCTGCACCTATTAGCACCTGCTTGACTTCCAGTCTCACGAAACAAATCAGGTGTAATCTCCAGGCTGCTGGTAAGTTGTCCACCAGTAGCTAAAAGTGGAGCGCCTTCGTTGCAATTAAGTCCAAGACTGAGTCCATCCATCCCCTAGGGGAGGTGTCGTTTCAAGAGCTTGCCTCAATAAGGTATACTAATTACAAAGTAATTAGTCTAACAGCGTATAAATAGGCTCTAAAAAGGGACTTGTTTACTTGCAGTGGATAAATGGATATTTCTTCTGCGCAGGATGGGCTTCTGGCCTAGTCCTGCACTTTCATAGGCCCAAATTTACTTTATTATTCTCTGGACAACACTATTCCAGCTTGCTGCTGCAGGAAGCCAGAACCTGAAATTAAGAGGTACTAGAATGGAATTATCATGACTACAAATCTCTGTGAAGAGCAATGTCTGGCAAACAGCCCCTGCGTTTTACCATTTGAAGTTTTAGACTTGGCTTTGCAAACAGGCAGGGGATTTCAGATCCAGAATCAGTTACTGGAAATCTTACCCTGTGGCTGGGTGGCCTGCAGTTTTGTTAGGCTTTAAATCTTTTGCTACCAGTAGAGAGGGAACAGAGGTCCTTAGAGAAAGAGGAGTCTTTTCAGACAATAAAAATCCAAAGTAAAACCCCAGCGTAATCTGCACAAACAATGCTCCAACAAATTAGAATTTGGAACGGGCTGATAAACTTTGTCCAGCGATGTTTGCATGCCTGTGTTGAGTAATCCCATGGTCTTAATGGAACCTCAATCAGTCATCCTCTCCCCAAACAGCTTTGTTACCTTCTATTTGTATCGTGCAACTTTGAGATATTAAGAACTTTGGACAGAGACCACGTAATGCATTTGTTTGAGGGCATTTGGCAGATTCCTGCAAACTACAAAGAAAGCCTGCTATGCCAGGCAGCCACAAACTATTTAACAGCAGCACGTTTTCCTAGTGCTTTCCTTCCTTAGCAATCCTGAATAACAAACATCGAAAAATGGATCATGTTTGGAGGTCCCTGCCGCTGAAATGGAGGCACTTCCAAAATGTTTGCATTTGCTCTGAGGAGTTTATGATAGTTAAAAGACCTAGAAGCAGCAGGAGGCGTTCAGGAGATGGCATGGAACAAGGCTCAGTCGCTTTTCCTCACACGCATGCGTTGAATTAGTCCCTTTTGACCTTTAATGCTATGCTAGTGCATTAGTGGAATCCCTTACATAACACCACGAGGACAGGAAGTCAGAGAGACTCCTGTCTCTAATTTCAAATGCAAGGGGAGTTCAGAGAGACCAAACACAGGTCCCTACTTGGGAATCTGGCGGAGAACCAACGTAAGGCAGCTTTTTTTGGGAGAACTTGTAAGGGTATTTGACAGACACACAGGGCTAAGTCCTTCTCAAATTTCCCTTACTGTAGGGGGAGGTCTGTAGCACAAGTTTTGATACCGCAAGGCTGCAGCTACAGTAAAGGAGGAAAAAAAACACAAAATAGTTTTAATCCATCGATGTGCCAAGTGCAGTTCTGATCACGTGTCCGCACGCTTACGGGAAAGGGCTCCCGTGATAATAAATGATCTCACTGTGAGAAGTGAATGTGTGAATGCGAGATACACATCAATGCTGTGTGCAGGTTTAGACAGACAGTGGCTTTTTAAGAAATCCCTCTGTTTCTGTGTGGGGGCTGGAAGTGCACACCCCAATTCTGCATAGGAAGGAGGATTTAGTAATGGCCTGATTTGAAAGCTTTTGTTATTTCTCTTTTGAGCAGGTCTAATCCAGCCCTCTGGTCCAGGCTTTTGGCTTCCTTTGGGGACTGCAGGCTGGGGCTTTTCATTGTTAGCTGAAACAGACATTTGGACGCTTTCCCTTCCTGGAGCACATTTGCTTTTAGCACTTTTAATACTTGCTTTGTCCCAAACTCAAACTTGTCCTATTTTGTTTGCTGCTTTTTTTTTTTTTTTTTTTACCTTGATTCAGCAGTGGCAAAAGCCTGATGCCTGGGAGCACTTGGTCTACCAAGTTCCTTTTCCGTTTTGACTAACCCCAGTTCCTACTGTTTCACAAAACAGATTTGCTTTTCCTGAGAGCAGAAACAACCCACAAAGCTCACATATGAGGGCTTCAAAGCCCAGCACACAGGACTTCCCTGTGAATTCTGCTGTTTCGTGAAATTGTACCCCCTTTTCTAGCCAAGTCACCCAACTTCCCATTATATCCAGCCACCTGGTTTGTCCCGGGGAGCTTTTACAATAACCTACAGATACACACTGGCAGATGGTCTGAATTTTCTCAACCAGCCGAGGGTTGTGAGGACAGAGCCTCCATGTGGTTGCCAAATGCAGCTGGTGTGCAGCCTCCTAACCTGTTATCTCAGTACCCAGAGCTCTCTGCTTACAGGGGACAGAACTGCCAATCTCAGAGTGGCAACCCACCCCAGGGCTCTGCTTACCCCCTTGAGTACAATATGATCCCAGGGAGCAAGCTGAATTCCTAGACTCCAGCTGCACAAAGGACTAGTTTGGATAAAGTGTGATGAGAATCCTGGAAATAGCTGTAGGTAGTGTCATTGCAGTCACCTAAAATCTCTGTGGCACAAGGAAATCAGTTTGCACAGATTTTATTCTGTGAGCAGGAGGGCCCCAAAGCCTTCCCACCCAGAGGTTGCTGCTTAACACCTAGGAATAATGGGCACAGGACTTCCACGTGCTAGGAGAAATTACCCACACATGGGGCAACTGCAGCCCTGCATGCAGCTCAAGCCTGCCGGTGGAGTTCAAGGCTGAACTTCTGAACCCTCAGTGAGCTTTTCCAATCTGGCTCTTGTTTGGATTAAGAGCAGAAGGCAGAGGGCTACAGACTACGCAGGAAGCACTCGATCAAAGTGCTGGCAAAGGCTGCCTCCTCCCTGCCACATCCCTTCCCTTGACACCTCTTGGTTTTGCTCACCTGCAGCAGCTCTGGCTCTTTGCTTTTGAATTCACGTGGTACGCACAGCACAGTTTCCATGCAGATGAGAGAATCCACATGCTGCTGGCGTGAAACACTGATAGCAGTGAAACCAGATTCTGCTCCGAGGGAGGAAAGGTGTCCACAGAGCCTGAGAACTTTGTAATTCACGAGGAGTTCATGTGGAACCTGCCTGTTCCCTAACACACAGCAAATTCTTCAGCTTAGGTGATGGAGGAGAGGTTGACTTGGATGTTACCCATGCCAATTTCTGTTCTTCCAGTAGGAAGCTGAAAATGGAGTGGCAGCTGAGCACTAAGAATCATGTACTCCATATCTATAAAACCTCTTGCTGACAGAGCAAGGATGACTCAGGAACCCGTGACATCCTTCAGTCCTTTTGGGAAGGGAACAACTACAGTGTTGTGCTTTAACCAACACTTTGGACCTGCCAAAAGGAAATGAGTGCTACATTCACATTAAGGGAGCATCTAGATGCTGGCCTGAACTCAGCGACTGTTCTGGACAGTTAGTCCACGCTATCCAGGCAGCAATCTCCATGCTGTAAAGAAAACCGCTGAGCTGCTCAGGTTTCCACTCCTGAAAGCAAGGAGTCCGACCTGCAACAGTGCTTGAAAGCTCCCCAAATGGTTTCGGTGTGTGGCGGCCTGCACACATGACTCTGGAATCTGGAAGTGGCCTATTGCTCCACACAGCGCTGGAGAAATCCCTGAGAACTTCCTCAGCCTCGTGGGCCAGCGAAAATACTTCGTTGCTACAGCACTTCACTGGAACACGCGAGGCTGGAGCACAACTGGACTCAGACATAAGAAGTAACTACAGGAAGTTATGAAAGGGAGAACTTAGGCTGGGGTTGAAAGAACAATCCTTGGCTACAAAACAAATTTGCTTGTGGAGTCATCCCTTGGAAACAATGACAGCCCCAGACTGGGCCAAATATGAGAAAGTGAATTGTAGGGAGCAATTCTGCAATGATGGGGTAAGCTTCATTGGTTTTCCATGTCCAAGTGCTGCAGACGAACGTTATGAAAGAGAGGAGGAGGACTCAAGAATTTATGGGTGATGTGGGTACTCTGATGGCCATATTTTTGCAGAAGAGCCCATAAGAAGTAAAGCAGTTAAGCAATAACGTTCATGAGGTACTGCTGTCAAAAACAAATCAGGCAGAAAGTGAAAAGACAAAGAACTGAAGGCCAAGAAACGAGGAACGCCATGGTTAGTCCCACCTGGATGGTGTCCAAACTGCAAGGGGTAGAACAGAAAGCTGTTGAGTGCTCCCCAGATGAATTCTGATCACAAGCTGTTCTCACTCATCTCCTACCACTCTGATGACCACAACTTGGCTCAAACTAGCATTTCACCTTCATGTTCTACCTTCATCCAATCTTCTCCTCTGTGTTACATCATATCCAGGATGGGTGCAAAGCAAATTCTTACCATCGTGCAGAGAAGTTGTGGGCATGTAGGAAAGAAGTTTGTACAATGGCAACAGTAAAACCTCTTCAGAAAATAGAACAGGCTATTTCTGCTTGTAAGCACCAGAAAAAGCACATTCAGGACAAGCAGAGAAGAGGCAGAGGGGTTTTTGGTGATAAATCCAAACTTCACATCATTAGATCAACTGCAGAACAGCACCCCTGACCCTTGGTAAAAGAAGGCAGTTTGCTGACAGCTCCATATGGCGGCGTGGTACTTCTTAATCTCAGCTAGGTGACAGCCAGTGCATCCAGGCACTTTGTATTTGAAGCAGGCTCTCTTAGACAGGGTGAATGTGATGTGGGCCAAATGTTCTGGCCAAGATAGCCACAAGCACAGCCAAGGTACTCCCACGGGTATACATGAATACAGCTCCTCTCAGCCCTTCTTTATGCACTTCCTTAGCACCTCTGCCCAGGAGCCATAGGGCTCCTCCTATGCAGCTGGCTTGTACATCATTTCAGGAGCAGATTCCTCAAGGACAGACCTGCTGGATAATTTGTACTGCTGACTGCTGTGCTATGAAAATAGTCTCAAGCTGGAGAAGCACCTCACTTCAGGGCAGAGACAAAGCTGAAGTGTTTCATCGGTCTGGTTTGTTCCTCCTTCAGCAGCAGATCTCAGCAGTACCAACACAACCCAGAATAAACCTGGCCAAATGGAGCATCAGCCATGACTTTGCAGGAGTGGAAAGAAATGAAAGGAATTGCTTATCCAAATGAAGTAACCTGCCAGACTCCAGCCAGGTAGGGGTTGCTGCTCTGAGTCTAGAAAGCATCCAGAGAGCCTACATCCAGAAATTGGATGCTTAGATCTGTAGTGTAGTAGAGGTGCTGGGCTCTGACTCCTGCATCAAGCTGCATTCCCCACATTAAATCTCTTCCAATCTCGGGTGGTGTGAGTGAGTGGAATCTGTCCTTAAGGTTACCTTAGGTTTTTGTCTTAGTCCTGACACTTCACTCATCTCAAAGAGCACTGCTGTCCTTCAGAAGGGCAAAGCTCTTACTAGCACAGTCAGACAGCATACATCCCTGTGCAGTGCTCAGCTCTGCCTGTTCTTTCCACCTTGCACGAGACCTCCTGTTTTAGGAGAGCACAGCAGGAACTATGTATCTTCTATATGCAAAGTTCTCTTCCATGTGCAATGCAAGTCCCTGATATCAAGAGAATAAGGGCAAATGAATGAGGGAGACAGTAGGAACAGAGGACATGACTGGGAATGGACTAAATTCTCAGTATACCGGATATTACTAGCCACCTGCGAGAAGTACCCAGCTCAGTGTGCAGCCCTGATACACATTTGTCTCAAGTTGTTGTGTTCCCTCATGATTACTTTCCTTTGACCAAAGAGGGACAATGTACAGATCCCAGCAAGCGATACCTCTTTCATTTCTGCAAGCATCAGTACCAGCAATTGGCAAGCTACAAGGGCCTGCTGTGATAGGCTCCCCGCAGATCCTGTTGATCTCTTCATGGACTGACACTTAAAACTGCAGCAGGTCCAAATGCAGTGAAGAAAGAGGCTCAGTTAAATGGGCAGTCCTGATGTTACACCAGACAGGATTAGAGGAAGTCCTGGTCAAGTCCCCATGGCACTGAACAAGGCAGCTTGTTCCACTTGGAAGTCCCAGCTCAATTCTACCTCTGCCTTCCCCTGCCCTGTGGCAGCACCACAGGTTGAGCACTTCCCCAGTTACCAGGGACTTACAGAAGGCATTAGGAACAATTACAGAGGTTAAGAGAATGTAAAACTGGCCAACTCAGTTATGTGGGAAGCTTGTGACAAGAATTCTGCCTTAATTCCCCAAGTAAGTGCTGGTTAAATGTCTTCAATGTGTTTAGTCCTCACAGGGTCACCCTGCCCTGGCAGGCTGGAGGATGGAAGCAATTAATGGCTCCTGCTGTAAGTGGTGCCAGCTACAGTTAGTTCCACAGAGCGACACAGAAAAAGCACAGGTAGTGGGGCAGGCAGAGTCAAAACTCTCACAGAACCACAGTGGACAAGATTCTGTAAGGAGACAGAGAGCTTTCCCCTGCCAGCAGGCTGAGACGTCAGTGGTGGGGACATTTCAATGCTGTTTCATCTCAACAGCTCTGTTCTCTTTTCCTCAACTGTCTCCACCCCACTCATTACATCTCCTTGCTGGGAGGAGGAAAACATGGGTGGTAGCAATGTAACAGGGAGAGCTTGGATCCTAATCACTAATTATTTAAGATCTTTTAATTTTAGAGATTAAACACAGAACATATCTGGAGGTTTTTCCTCACTAAAAACTTATGAAACAATCTGTCAGAGTCAAGGCATTAGATCTGGAGCCCTGGTGTGATTCCAGCAGGACAGAGGATTTACCATTTCCCATCTCAACCTGCTGTGTGAATGCTAGCTAGATAACGTGCTCCACCCCACAGCTGTTAGATAGACGCAGCAACTAAAGAATCTCCAAGACTTCAGATAGAGGAATAACAAAGCTTTCAGAATTGAAGTATTTGATGGCTACAGGGCTGCACCAAATGTACTCCTCTAATTTAGTTCTCACTGATCTCAGGGACTTTTCCAATTTCCAAGGGCCTACCTCAAGTCTCCACTGCAGAATGTGGGATCTGAAACGCAGGGGTCTCCAGCTGCCCCGAGCCCTGCAGCCCAAACTCTCCCAGCAACAGCCCCTTGGCCTCTGGTAACCCCATGGCTTGCTAATGCAAGGTTCATAAACCGCTCTGACATCCCCATGGAAACAGAGTGTGAGGCCATAAACAGGGGATTAGCACCTCCTAACGCTGAGCAAAGCGCAGAAGGCGACAGCAGCCTTTCAGTTTGTCCACCAAAGGCCAGAGGCCATTCAGTCCTGGGAGGGGGAAGAGAGCGTGTAACACAGGAAGGGCAGGCTGAGGGCGAGTCACCGCCTGCAGTCAGAAAGGGCAAATGGGGATGGGGAAGAGTAGAACAGTTTTGTGACAGGCCCTTGTTAGCTGCTCAGCCCTCATCTCACTGCTGGTACCCATCCTGAGCACACCCTTCTGCCCTAATTGCAGCTGGGGGCCAGGCACTGAAAGGCTGGGAGAGAAGGGGCTGTTTGTTTTGGAGATGAGAGGGCTCAGCGCGGGTCTTATCAATGCTTATAAATACTTGAAGGGAAAGTGTAAAGACGACAAAGCCAGACTCTTCTCAGTGGTACCCAGTGACAGGACAAGAGGCACCAGGCACAAATGGAAAAATTTTGTCTGAATGCAAGAAGGCACCTTCTGACTGTGAGAGTGGTTGAACTCTGGAACAAGCTGCCCATAGAAACTGAAAGGTTCATCCTTGGGGATATTCAAAATCTGACTGGATGCAGCCCTGGATAACCAGCTCTCGGTGACCCTGCTTTAGCAGGAGGTGTGGACGAGACGGTCTCCAGAGGACCTTCCACCCTCAGCTACTCTGTGATGCTGTGACTCCAGTTCTGTGGCAGCCCTACTAAATATTAGTGAACAGGAGGCCAGTGCAGCTGGGAAAGGGTGAGCAGACCAACACTGGCAGTTCTCATCCTGTGGGGATGGTCTGGATGAGATGCAGTTTGTCCTTAAAGACTAACAAGAGTTGTGACAGATACTGTTTCCCTGACATGCTGTGAGTACTTTTTATGAAACCTGTTGCCCGAGGCATGTTCTACCCAGTTATAAGGAACTGGGTTTCCTCTTCCAATCTATTCCTTAAAAAAAAGGACAGAAAGATAAGAGTATTCACCTGTTGAGCTTGGGTTTCTTGGGAATATGCCCTTCAGGAAGTCGAGGCCTGTGGTTTGGCAACAAACCTGAGACAGAAAAAGAAAGGTGTGAGAATATTTTGCAGCCCCTCCTTGCCTCTGTATCACCCAGAAGTTACATTACACCTCATAAGCCCCGCAACCCAGGATCCCTACTGCTAAAACATAACTAAAGCACAAAGGGTATTTGTTATTTCTTTAGCCATTGCTGAGCCTGCACCCTAGCCAGAAATTGGGAGGTTCTGCTGGATACACTCTTTGAGAGGGAACACACACAGCAGACCCAGCCACTTGAGGCTTTTGGAGGGAACATAGGGCAGGGGTGCCCAATCAGATTCCATCTCCAGGGTGAAAAATCTATTAAAATTCTCAATCCATTTAACTTGGATACATCTCGTGTACCAGACAAAGATCAGCACAATACTGTGTCAACCTTGGATCTGCTTCCAGGTCAAAACAGAGATCTTCACAATGCAGATGGTCGACAGGTGCATTAATGGGGTCAGGGTTGTGCTTATGCTAGAACAAGTCACTTCAGAAGCTGGTATTTAATCATCAGTAGCGCAGTTACAGTCTGTGCCACTTCCTACATCCTTCCACAATGGCAGATTCCATCATCCCGTCCCAGCACTTGGTGCACAACAGCTTTGCTGGGTGACTGGCCAAGGAAACCTTACAGAGTTACACCCGTGGGGTGGGAGACCCCTCTTATGGGGCTGTCTGGGTGTTGTCTGAGGGGGCCAGGTACCTGCACGGTGAGCCATCTGCACGCAGACCGCAATCTTCCTGTGCTCCTCCAAACAGAGGCCCGTGATCCGCCGTGGCAGCATCCCTCCGTCAGAACGGATAAACTGGCTCAGGAGCAGGACATCCTGAGGGAGGAAAAGAAAGCAGAGCCATCAGCACTACAGCTACGTTAACTGCTGTCCCTCTGAGGTGTTGTGCTGGTCCTCACACTGCACACAGAGCTCAGTACAGAGCAGGATGAGGATGACTTCCTACACTTTTGGCTGCAGATGGACAGCAAGCGACTTTTGCTTGCCATCACTCTGCCTGCCAGCTTAGCTCAGTGAGGTTACTAAGCTTTCCCCTGACTTCACTAGTGTAAACACATGATGTCAGCTCTGATCCTTGCTCCTCCGCTGTCACTTGCTCCAAGATCCTAGCTAAGACAGTGTGTCCTAGGTACACTGAGGCACAGTTACACAAGACCTGCAGATGGACGGTGTTTACACAACTTGAGATCCCCTCACAGCTGCTATCCTAAAGGTCACAGATACGTTAGATCACCCCTGGCCCTTCCATTGTTCCCTCAGAGCAGGGTTGTTCCCTGCTACCTATCCTTCCAGCTTTAATCTGGTTTCCCATGGTGGAACTTCCCTCACGTCTCTCTGGAAAGGCGGAGAGCAGGGCAGCCTTCCAAGAGCTTGCACGAAGAAGCTTGTTGTGAAAAGAGAACGTGTGCCGATAGGAAAGACCTAAGAGAATAAATCCCTGCTCCCAGCCTTTCCACTGTGCGTGCCTTAGGCAGGGCTGCTGAAGCCCTGCTGGATGCAAGGAGCGCTCAGAGCACGCCGAGGGTTCGGCTGGGATTCAAGGATCATTTAGCTTACACTGCTGTTGACCTTTCCAATTAAGTGCTCTAGAAATCTAAAGCGCTTTTAATAAAAACAAAATTAAAGGGAACTGTAGGATCAGATAGTATCATAAGTCTGCCATGACAAATTATTAAACACAGCACAAGTGTCCCATTAACTGCACGTCGTAAACCAGCCCCGTATTCAGCCACAGCTCGCCATTTCCACACACACCACCGCTGCCAGAGCACCCTCAAGCCAACACAGGCAGGTCCTGACACACTGACATCTCTGTCAGTTGGCCCAAAGGGCTTTTGGGGCCTCTGTGCTGGGTCCTCCCCCCGCCTGTTGACAGACTTGTTGCTGGTTGAGAGTTTACTTCTCCACTGCTGTTGTAAACATTTTCATAGTTGAGGTAGCTGGAGCATGCAGAGGCTGCTCTCCGGCTGGAAGGGACGTGCCAGCAGGCACCCCGACAGAAAAGGGAATTCAGATCAGGTATGTCAGCACTTTATACCCCTCTGTCCAGGGCAACAGCCCTCTGAAGTGGGCTGTTGGAATTCAGCATGGCTTTCTGGTAATGACCAGCTCTGACAGATGCTGCCATACAACTGCTGCAGTCAAAAATTTAGAGTTTTTTTTTTTTCTCTCCAATCCCACCATCACCACTATGATCATGAAAAACAAAATTTCCCTCTTCCCTTATCTGGCTTTCTTTCTACCAGTTAATGTATTCAGGCTTATTTTCAGACTCGTCTCTTTGAAAGAGCAGCAGGTTAGGTAACTCCATGCTAATGAAGAACGACTTACAACCACCATGCAGTGATGCTGTATCCAAAGAACAAGAATAGCACAGTTGAGCAACTAGCAGGAAGCTCCCAAGAGGCCATCTGTGGGTAAAAAAGAAGCAAAGTGTCCTCAGCCCAGCCAGCACATGACCTTGCCAATGAGAACAGTAACCAAGGGACCGTTTGGTGCCAGCTGCGTTGGTGGAAACTGGACAGAGGCCAGCCAAACAGTCCAAGGGCACTGACTTTCGGCCACTCCTGAAATGCACTGGATTGGATCCAGGAAGCCTAAGCAAGCCTCCGTCCCATTTTTTCCATCTTCTGTAGCCATCCCGTTCTCCAAATCACCAACACCTCGACTTGCCATTTAGCCCAAACACACAAACACACCACTTCCCTCAGTGAGAAAGGGCTGTTCAGCTCCAAGTGCCTCGAAAGAGAAGAGCTTCCTACACCCTTCTACTAGCCTGCTGTAGTGCTCTGTGGGGAAGGAGGAGAAGGGAGCTGACGGCAAGTTTGAGGCTGTTCCAGTCGCTGCAGCCGTGAAAGCCTGAGTAGGCCACAGCTCTCCCGAAGGGTGTGTGTGGTCCGAGCACTCTCTCCTACTACCACCACGCCTCTTGGAGTCACAGGGCTGTTATCAAGTGTTTCCACACAAAGGTGGGTGGCGGGAAGCAAAAGCAGATAGTCTTTTTCTCCCTCTGGAAAAAAAAAAGGGAAAAAAATCCATTCTCTGTTATTATCTTTGACCAACAGCGTGTCTCCAGCTGACCAACTTCCCTGTGTGGCAGTTGTATCCCAAGTGAAATCATCCCTGCTGCTGCAGTTCCAAGCTACGTTCACGCCATTTGGCTTAAAATGCTGCCATTTTAAGAAGATTTGTCCATTTCAGAAGATCCCCGCAGTGTCCTCGTGCAGATGCATCTTACCGCAGGGAGCAAGCAGACAGGTACAGCCAACTTTATGGGGCAGCTGCAGAGGGAAGCGAACAAGCATGTAGAGGAATCAAAGGAAAAAAATACGTCTGGCAAGTTCTCGTGGTGCCGTCATGTTCCATGAAATTCACATTCTGTGCTAGTGGACAGCCAAGCCTGTAACTACAGATTTGCTTTAATCACCGGACAGCTCCCATGAGGCTGGACCCAGATTCCCACCCCTGTAATCTGCAGCATTTGATGAAAACAGCTTGGATTGAATTAATCTAGGGCTAACAGGCAAAGATTGCAGTTTGGTTTCCCCTCATTGCAGCCAAAGCAAGATGACATATTTACTGCCTGCGCAGGCTAATGATGTTTGAAGTGGTTAAGGGGGGAGAAGGAAAAACAAGTTTAGCCTTCACCTTTAAAAGGTCTGGATAAACTTGCTAAACAAAACACTACGTATAACACATTCTTGTGAATGGATGGCAACTGAAAGGCAGAGGCATCTCTGCATTTCAATATCCGCAGACCATTTGGAAAGCAAGATCCTTGACTGGCTACATGCAATTCATTAAAAGCTTCATTTATCACAATGAGAGTTCTGTCTGTGTAGCCAAATTACTATGGGGCCGTGGACAAGCCTGCCTGTCATGATTTCCAGTTACACAAGAACGTATTTCCTCCTTTAACCCTTACTCCTGGGAGCTGTACGCCATTCTCTAGGCATTTTGTAAGAGGATTGCAGGTTCCAACCCAGTTGCCTCCTGGCAGTGATGAAAATCAATTTTTTAAACCTCCGATGGCTGTGAAAAATCAAGAGAGGTCTGGGATTCAGTGGCCAGACATACCCAGACGACAAACAGCGGGCATTTGTACCTCAGGCTCCTTTATCCTGAGCCTCGGTGCAGACTAAGGACTGAACTGGCAGTGCCGACTGCAGCCCTCCACACCGCAGCTGAGGCAGGTTGTTATCACGACCCGTGAGCGCACACAATGCCTGTTTGGTTGATTAATAACTTCAGAGCCATTGGTCCCCTGGTTCTCTGACAGCTAAAGTAACTCATTATGCTACTACTTTAGACCGTGCTAGTTGCCCATGACAAAAGGGAAGTCCTATGAGGTCATATTACTCAGCTCCCTCGGGGGCTAATTCAACACTTCCCTTTTCATAGGGCCTTATTCAGTCCAATTACAAGCGTCCCAAGCAAAAAAAAAAAAGCTCACACTTTCCCTTCTGTGCAACCGCCTGAGCTCAGCTTATCAATCTCAAAGAAACCCCCGTGATCCACCTATTCTGATCCCGCACTGAGCAGGGGTTATAGGTTATGCTGTATGAACTAGCCTGTATCTTTAAAATAGCTGGTCTTGATTTACAGTCTTTTAGGACAATTCAGCCACCAGTGAGTAAATTGTCTAATTAAACACTTTAATAAACCGTTTAATGACCCACACAGTTAAATGCCTGCATTTTATTATTTGAGCATTTCAAGATCCTGCTAGTCATCGCTGCTGCAGCAAAGAAAAACAGCTGAGAGCTTTTGTGCAGAAAAGGGGGGATTTCATTCCCCTTAACATTTAAAAGCCTATAAATCCACAACTGGCATTAAAACACATAATGGACTTATTCAAGCAGAAGAGGTGATCTACTCCAGAGCTGAAATTTCTCCTAGCTCTCATCAACCCCATGGAGGAACAGTTCTAAAAACTGAGGCAGGAACCTTCTACAACTGATACACTAGGATTACACCGCTCTCTTTAGCTTTCTGTCCAGACTCTCCTCAGCCCTGCAGCAGGCATACTGGATATATATTCCCAGATACACTTGCATTCAAAAACTACCCAACAGCCAGGATGGACATGTGCCAAGGCTTCCTAAAGCGTTGGGAACAATCTCAGCAATGATTCTCAACACCCTGGCTGCAGGATCTCTCCTCACATCTGGTTTGCTCCTGCCTCCGTACTGACCACTAGAAATCAGAATCCGAGAATCAACCAGCTTCAACATGGAAGAAAATGTTGAATCTTAGTTCAGAGTACAAACATATTTAACACTCAACTTTCACGTTGTCCTCCGGGACCAACAGCCTACTTCTAATCCGGGAACTCTGGCCCTGCAGCACCACATTATCTAAAATCACTTCGTTTCTCATTGGCCCAGTTATCTCTTTGTGCAACTGAGTCCTCTACCACAGACAGCAGAAGAAAATAAATCTTATTAACTTTCAAGATGACTCATCTCATCCCTGAGTATCAGTTTATAGTTTCTATGAAGTTCCTAGTGGGTGACTCACGGAATGCTCTCTGAAAATCTGTAGAGCGAGGCAGTTTAATGATGCTGTTGACTCCACGCATTTAGAAGTTATGTGACTCTAAATTAACCTTAGAAAACTATTTTCCAGTGTGATTGGCTTACTTTGAATACAGTGGCGTTCAGCAACCATGAAGTGTGTCTTGCAAGAAATCCCTGCATTCAAAGATGAACACCACAAAACGAGTCTGATCTGCTTTCGTAGTGCTTTCCATACCTTAATGATATCTGGCATTTCTCCTTACTTACTCTCACCTGCAAATTCAGAATATTTTAGCTTGCCCGGATTGTTGTGAAACCATACCAGAGAACACGAAACACTTTGCCCTGACATTTATTTCACTGTTTAATACCGCATCCGGCCCGATTTGGAATCATTAACACCACCCAGATCCTAGACAACATCATTCCTGCAACACAGACTGACAGATACCAATCTGCCATTTCATTTATATCTCACATCATTTATTTCACCTGCCTGAAGTAATTGTATTTTATCTGGCACTGTTTCTATATTCATGTCCTTCAAAACTCATGAGTCATAACTGGTCCTGTCCTAAACACTTATTAGGTTTTACCCCTAATCAATACCATTCTACTTGGCATTTGCAGCATTTCATTTACCAAGTAGTAGCCATCTGCATCATCCTCTTTCCCCTCTCAGTTGTGATTGGTGATTCCATAGGATTTTTTCCACACTTAGGAAAAAATCCTGCAAAAGTCAAGTTATTTGTTAGTTAATTCTGCTAAGATCTTGGCACTACACACAATCCAGGCCTGCTGGTCTGTATCTAATCCAGTGCTTAAATCTGTACCTGTTTTTTCCCCCATTGCTTTGCAGTAGTCATTTCTAAGACTGCAATCCAGCACTGAGATTTTAGCTTACACTGGGGCACTTAGGTCTTTTATAAACTGTGTTTAATTGACCTCTTCTTGGGAAGCTACATTCTGTATCCTCTATCTCATACTCTTTATTCTAAGATGTTTTTGAGCGTTGTGCTTTTGTTTTAAAGCATTGCATAATTTCCCTGCTATCTTCCACATTTAGTGTCAATCATACTCTCGTTAGTTAATAAACACCTCATTAGCATTTCCTGCTAAAGGCATCAATCAACTATTTTTTCCTGTTGCTAAGGGGAAGGGAAGAGAGCGTGTATGCTCTCTGCCGTATCCATCAAGAGCTTCAAAAGGTATGCAGAACAGTTACTACTTCAGTGAACAATGACCTGAAAAAAACCTGCAGTGCTTAAGGATACAAGCCTAGTCAAGACCTAGTCAAGTCTTCTGGTTTCTCTGGAGTTACAGCAGGCCTGAATCCGTTGACTAAATATCACATTTCAGTTCTGTTACCTTAAAAGCACAATGTTGAAGGGCATTTAGGCACATTACAGAGATATGGCCTTCTCAGATCAGATTCCAAACCTCCTATTTGATATAAACAAATCCTTTTTCCAAGAAATACCATCAATCAAGGCAAACAATCACTATGTAGGAAGCTCTTGTTATACCCAATAGAAGCAGAGATGGAGTTACCCATCTTTACTGTACCTGGCAAAAGAAGAAAGGATCAGGTTGTGCAGTAGGCTAGACACGAGAGCAGTATTTATCTATGAAGGAGCATTACACCGTCCTCATTAAGCTTACCACGTAATCATACTTATGCTTCAGGTTCCAGCGACAGATGGGACACTGGCCAGAGGGGTTAGGAGGAGTTGGTGCTGCAGCATCCTCTATAATTTTCCCTTCAATCTAGGAAAAAATTCAAAGGATACAATGGTCAAGCAAAGATTGCACAATCCATACCTCTACCTTCACCTGTGATTTGAGAAAAATCTATCACTAAGACCACAACACATTGACAATTACTGCACGGATATAAGTGGCAAAGGACCTGCATTATACAACTCACTCTTTTATAGATCAATAAATCAAGCACTTTGGATATACAAAGATTATGGGGAAAATAAGTAATCCAAAGAGCAAAGAGAACCATTTGATAAATTCTTGCATATATTTAAATCTGAACTTGTTCTTAGTTAATGTGAAATTCTCATATTTCCCTGAATTCCATTCATTGCAGAGTTTCTTTGAACTACTGCGCCTTGCAATTGTAGTGATCCTTTAGCCAAAAGCCTTAAAAGACATTTTTGCTGGGAACATGAGAATGTCACAGAACAGCAGATGCATGCTGTGGGCCAAAGTATGCAGATGTTTACTAGACTATAAGCCAACACCAAGGAAAATTCTGAGCAGAAGTCAGATTGAAAGAAAGGACTGTTAGAAGATTTCTGCTCTGTGTGTGTACACATATATATATTTAAAATACACCAATATTTTTTTCTAGTTTAATTCCCTGAAAAATCCCTTTGGGAAATCATTTTACAATCTTTTCTCCATCACTACAGAGTGGTGAATCTAACACTCGACTTTTCTCAAAAGTAACATGCAAAGAAGCCTAGAAGGCGTGTGTGGGAGGAACCTGAGAAATTTGTTTTCGAGGCATAGGTATTTTAGGAATACGAAGTCTATATAAGTGTGCGCTTGTCTTTTTTGAGGACTTATGAATAGAAGCAAGAACTCTCTCAACTTGCAGCTGAATGGAGATGAAAAGACAATAAAACTAAACCAGTTTTTTTTCAAGAACATTTTGGAAGTCTTGTCTGGTCAAATTAAAATTAAAACCATTTGGAACACCAACTGTTAGGCTCAAATAGTTCAAACACCAGAGAGTTTATGAAGAAATCCTGGGTATCTAATTAAATTCTCCAACACTGCGAAGGAATGCAATGCTATTTTTAATAAAAAAGCTGAAATCCTGGGAAGAAAACAGCATGACGTGTTCTCTAAGTTTGTATGGGACAATGACATCCAGCTGAAGTGTCAGAAACAGCTCATACCATGTGTCTTTCTTGCCTAGTGATGGCAAACATAACTTAGCTGTAATTGAACCTCTGTACCTCAAAGAGAGGGAATACTGTCAATTTTTAAGTAAGATCCCTTCCTCCACAAGTAGGACAGCCAGTTTTATAAAAATAAAAAAAGGTAATTATGAATATAAAACACAGGCCAGTATCTACTCTTCTACTCATTAGTAAAGTTATTTTTAGGGAAGTCAGCCTATCTGGTTCCCTCAGGGTCCTGATTTCTGCCAGTCTGGCTTCAAACCATACTTTGACTTTAATTTAATCTTGAAAATGAGTGAAGAATCAGAATACTGTATCAGTATCACTTTTTCTTGAGATAAGTTTCAGCATACACGTTTTGGTAATTACTTCCCAGCTGCTACGGATTCTCACATTAACCCACCCAGTTATTTTTCTGTTAGAGAACTGAGAGGGAATATAGATGCTTGACATTCTCAGCATGCTGATAAAACCCAGATTTCTTTGAGATTCATTCATCTGGTTCATGCTGAACACCTCCTTCAGTATTAATAAAAGACAAGAATACATAGAAAGATGAGCACAGAGAAATGGATTCAGAAAAGTCAGACATTGAGTTGGTAGGATAAATGAAATAACCAGGGGATATACTGAGAAATGTAACAAATGGTATAGGTTGACCAGCTAAAGGGCCAAGTATCATTTATGAGTATAGATGGATCCTAGGTTGATGCTAGAATATTATACAATTTGAATATCTAAGTCTTCCTTATATTTCTACATTGGACATTGCTCCATTCAAGTCTCAAACCCAAATACAACAAGGAAACTCACTTTCAAAGGCATTAAAGTCTCTTCCCTCCCTAATATTTATTTTAAAATAGATGAAGGCATAGTGCATTGTTTTCTAGTTATTCCCCAATGATTCCTGCTCTACTCTTCCAATGGTATTTAAACACTTCAAAATATCTGTACCGCCTGCCTCTAGATAGATTCCTACTAGCACGCATACTGCGAGCGAAACAATAACATTTTACCACACCCTCCAGTAACTTCTGTGCCTCTTCTTCAAAAGAATACTTCTCTTGATGACATGCAACAGATCAGATGGTGTTAATCAAGCAAATTCCAATCCTATTGCTTTGGTCTTTTCCTTTCTGTTTTACAGCGTAGCTGAGAAAAAATGCTGTTATTTATCAGAAAACTCAACACTGAGGTTTTCTTTTCAGAAGCAGTATTCTTTTAGTATTTGGCATCTTCTCTTTGACAATACCTCCTTCACCATTTTTTTTTATTACTGAATATGTTATGAAATGCAATCTTCGCATCACCAACAGTTGCTAAGGCTCTGATTATCAAACATGAAGCATGTCAAAGCCAAGCAACATGTGTGGTACACAACAACCCTGTGCTTGCACATCGAGGAAACTTCCTTTGTGTCTACTCATACTAATTATGGGGCTGAGATGATGTCAAATGTCACTTAAACAAAAAAAAGAAGCAGAATTGCCTTTTGCACCTCAGCTACTCAACACCTGTACTCTGTGCTTCCAATTTTACAGGGATGTGACAACGCCACAGGTCTGTTGTTCATGGGTGATGCTGCCTGGAACCCTTCATCCCCTCACCAGCACCAGGGTGCTGAGACCCTGACCTTCTCTGGCCAAACCATCCACCTCATGTACCCACGCTTGTAACACACTCCTACCTTTGCTTTGCCTTCGTGCCCTGTGATGTCTTTTAGGTAGAAAACCGACCCTTTCACCATCCCTTTTGGGAGCCACCAGGAGACTCTGAAAAGGGGAGACAACAGCACGGGTTGCTACTGAGCAAAACATGGGGACAGAGACTTACTGTGGTCGTGTTGCCTTCAGTCACCTCCACGACTGCACAGACAAAAAAAATGAAAACAAAAAAAAAAGTTAGGAGAACAAAATAATGGAGTGAGACTAGTTCAGCAAAAAATAACCTTTTTTTGGGGGGAGGAAATGGGTGGTGAAACAGAGCGAACGCTACCGTTTCCCTCAACCAACGGGGCGAGGGGCAGCCCGGGAGCCTCTCCGCGGTCCCCCCGGTGCCCGTGGCCCGGGACCGGCCCCGGACTCACCCTCCCGGAGGGCTCGGGCCGGCGGCGGAGCCCAGCCGCGCCCCCAGAGCCCGGCGAAGAGCCGCCTCAGCCCCCCGCGCAGCAGGCTGGGGACCGCCATCTTGTCGTCGCCCTGCCTGCCGTCACTCCCGCTTCCGCCGGCGGGAAGGCGGGCTCCGCGCCGCCATTTTGAGGCGCGGCTGGGCCCGCCCCTGTCACCTGAGGGGCGGGCGGGGGGGCGGGCAGGGGGAGGATGCTTTTACCCTGCCCAGCATATTCTCCTTTTCTTTTTAAATTTATTTATTGTTTATTTTTTTTTTAGAGCCTTTTCACCTCGAGGTGGAGGTGAATCTAAAGGTGGTGTTGGCACTGTGTTATATAGGCTTGAACAATGCTTCTTCCACAGCTCCTGAGTCTCTCCTGGCTCTCTGAGAGAGGAAGGACAAGGGCTGGTTTATGGTTTATTTATGTTATTTATGGTGATCTGTAGCTCAGGTGAAGGTTTGAAGCACCATATTGTCAGGCTGAAAACTTACTTGTGCTACAAGTAGCCCAGTTTAGATGCTTTCAGTTTTTGGATGAGTATCGCCTGCCTTTGGCAGGTCTTGGGCAGCTCGTAGCCTGCTGCTGAGAAAGTACTGTCCCCATCACCTTTCTTAGCATGTGTCCATCTCTGAGCTTCTTCCTCCTTCCTTTGATGGAAGGTAGCTCCTTGGTGCCCATTGAGACGGTGCATGAAACAGTTGTGACTTTAGGTACCAAAGTGAACATTCATTTTTCATCATAATACTGGGTCCTCGTGAAGAGTCAGCTGCTGTAGTTGAGGTTGAGATAATCTGTAACCAATAGCAAAGGTCATTCACGTTCTTTTTTTTTTTTTTTTTTTTTTTTTTTTCTTTCCCCAAATGCTAGTTAGTTTTCAATTTTATCTCTCAAAAAGCTAAACTAATGGAATGAGAGAATCATCTGGGAGTCATGCATTGGTGGTTATTCATGCATCCGCTTTTATCAGTGGTCAACGGTGTTTAATCAAGATACTCTACGTTTTTCTGAGTTTCTAGATAAACTGTTAATGTAAAGTATAAATTGTGACAAAGATAACATTTAACGTAATGTAAAATAAATGTGATTTTACTATCTCAAGAGGTTTCCTCTCACTCCTACCTCCTTCCTGTTGTTAACGCTTGCTTCTTGTTGCAGTCCAGTTTGAAAACGTATGCCTATCTGGGGCAGTGGGACTACGCTTCTGTTTTTTTTTTTTTTTTTTTTAGTTATTATTATTATTTATTTATTTTATTTATTTATTTATTTTTGTAGTCCTTGATAAAACTGGGTAGGTTCTCCAGGTGATACCGTCCCTTTAGATTGTACTGTGGGAGACCAGACCAGAAAATTAACGCAAATCTTTCTATGGCAATTCTAAACATTCAACTCAGACTTTTCCGAAGAAGTGGGAGTGAAGGCAGGGCTTCTGTCCAGCCTCCAGTGCTCTATGCCAAGCAATGAGAATGGGGCCATCCCAGTTATTCAGAGAACAAATTGAGTAAGAACGCCAGCCGGAAGAAAACTCTTCGTCTCTTGTTGGATTATGCTATATAATGATCCTTAGAAGCAGGGTGATCTTCAGCTTCTCCAAAAGTTTAGAAATAAGAGCCAAACAAAATATTTACTGCCATCCAGTCTGGGAATAACTTCCTTATGAGGAAAAGGAACATTGCTAGACACAGTGGTGTAGCAATGTCACATTTTTGTGATTTTTTTTTTTCTTTATATAGAGAATTTTATCCTAGTGGAAGGAGTTCGGTTGCGACAACCTGGCAGGAAAGTTTATTCAAGGGTTTAAATTAAACCCAATTTCCTCTGCTTGTCTCACATGATAGGGAAGACTAAAGGGCTGTCCATTTCAATGGGAAGAAACCGACAGTAAGCACAGTGCTGGTTCAGCATGGTGAAGATAAAGAGACAGGCAAGGTTGGGTGCTGTTCAAGAGTTTCTCCATGTCATTTGACTTTTCAGTATTGACGTTTAAGCAGTATTCTGGGTTTTGGTCTGCCAGAGGCTACCAACATGGTGGTAGGTCAGATAACAGTAAGAACTCCTCTTGCTCTTCTCACCCTCAAACAAAGGCTGTCTCTAAATGAATTAGTGACACATGATTTAACACAAAGAAGGAAATTAGTTGCTTTCGTAAAGAATTGGAGTCTCTGGATAGAGTGGATCCTCTCTTTCCCCAGGATAATTTCTTTGCCTTCAGAGTATTTTCCATCAGTGATGCAGACCATTGAGTCCCAAGGAGATAAACAACGTTTGTGCCAACTTGGGTTGAAGCCCATCATCTCTTTCCAAGTTTGGAAATTTGACATATTTCTAATTTCCTACAGGGAATTTTAAACGCGTTTATTTCATCAAGCCCTTGTATTTTGGGGTAAAAAAAAAAAAAAAAAAAAAAAAAGAATTCTGAATGTTATGTCTACATACGAAAGAGAAAAGTGGCTTTCTTTTCTGTAAGTCATTTCAGCCACAGTCTGTATTTTGTCGACACTACAGAAGGTGGTGGAGTTCAGACAGAAGTGGACATTTGCAAGGAATAGAATGGGATGTCACTGACCATTGAAGAACGAATGCTTTGCCTTTTGAATTAAAATTAAACCTGTGCTCGCAAGTGTGGAGCTGGTCAGAAGCAAAGAAGTACCATATTGTGGATGAGAAACTTATGTCCTAATTGCTTATGGCCTCCAAAGATTTTATGGCACTGTTCTCAAATAAATGGTATTCACTCGTCTGAACTGCTTTTGGATTAGATGTAGATGTTCTGCAAGGCACAGTATTTCTTTTCATACTAATTTTTGTTCTGCTCTTTGGTCTTGTTTGAAAAAAAATGGAATATGTTTTGCCATTTTTCTTATTTAATATAACATATTACTTCTTTCTGTTTCCAACAACAAAGAAACTTTTCTGGTCCGTTGGGCATTTTTTGGTCCGTTGGATGCTAACAGATGACATGTATATCTGCTCCAGAGCTTTACCCCTGCAAACATCTTGTGAAGGCTGAGGCTGTTCCAAGGCAATATGATTAAAAATCATAGAAATCGAGATGGAAAAAGCTATTAGGTCATGTAGTTCCCACACGCACCCCCCAGAGCAGTACAGGTTTCCAATGGTACGTTTTTGGTGCTTTCCAGAAGGGGTCACTGCAGGTCAGTGTTCACTTTGCCTCCAACAGCCCGCCTCCCTTCCTCCTCCTTGAAAAATTAGGAAAACCTTCTGAATCTGGTGATGAACACGTTGCAAAATGTCTAGAATTTTTATTACAGCACGTGATTTGATGTTGATGGTGATCGAAAGCAGAAGAAGTGTGTTCAAGTCCAACAAGGGATCATCCAGGATTTCATGTAAGGAAGTTGAGTGAGCTCTTCAAAATGACTTGTTACCTGTGTGTGTTTAGCAAGTGCTACAAATCCCCAGAACTGCTCTGGAGCCACTCTTGTAAGGAGAAAGATTCGGAGATTTGTCCTCTCTGGTTGTCCATGCTTAGACAGAGTGCCTTACAGTAACATTTTAGTCAGATAAAAAATAATTGAAATAATACTAGTGATTGTAAAGCAAACAAACAAAACCACCAGAAGTGACAAAACCCCCTTAATCTTGAATAAAAGAAGGGAATAGCTAACACTCTGCACCAAAAGAGCAATTCATCATACTCAACCAGTCAGAGTCACTGCGATACAGAGGAGGTGCGAGGGAATGAGCTCGGGACAGACTTTAATAATTTGAAGTGTGGAGGGGGATGGAAGGGTGGCTGGAGATGGTAAGGAAAAGCTGCAAAGAGAGCAGGGATACAGGGCAAGGAGATGGCACTGGCAGGAGAATGAGCAACTCGCTTGGAAATCACTTGTTTGTATTTTTGAGGTTTCCTTCTCTTCCCGGTGGATACGCTTATTTTTCAAAGTAAAACAACCAAGTAATAATTTCATTACTTTTCCTTCCAAGATTTCAAGCAAAGTGTAAACAAGAAAAATCCAGTGGGAAAAATAATCCAACTTCCTTTTTCAATACCGCTTCAGTTCTGGTTCTCCTTCCCCTGCCTCTCTCCTTATATATTGTAGATGCTACTGTTCTCACGTGACATTGCTGACACCAGCTGAAATACCTCAGTGATGACATTTATTAGAGGAAAAAGAAGATGAGGTTCACTGAAATTCACTTGTGATACAGAAATGATAAGTTCTGAGATTTTCAGTGCTCAAAAAAAATATGAATAGCTTTTGACATTTCGGGAATGCTCCATGGGGGCAAGGCAAAATGACGGAAAACAACTGAACCCCTCACACTGAGATTTTGATCTCTGGCAATTAATATGGATTGGCAATTAATCTGCATGGGAGAATCGTAAGGAAGAAAAGCTCTGCAACAACGCCATGGCAATCAGACCGGCAAATATCCAAAGATTTAATTTTTCCAGATGTTGTATCTTTTTTTATTTTTTATTATTTTTCTCAAGCTAGGTAAGGAAGAACTTCAGAAAAACAGACGGGGGAAAACATTGACTTTGTAAGCCATGGTTGGCATTAAGATCAGTGCAATGCTGAACGCTCGGATACCAGTGTGCTGAAACACAGCTATGTTAATTTGCGTTAAGTGAAGTCAGAAGGTGTGTCTGGGCCATAAAACGTCTGTGTTTTCAGACATTTCGAGGCTGACGTGTAACAAATGCTCAGTTTGACTTCACCAACAGACGTGCTTCGAAATGGCAAAGACGAGCAAGAGGAGACTAGGATTTCTCTGGTCCATTTGCATGAAGACAGCCCTGGGGTGGTCTTCCATGGGGGAGTCTCGACAACCTGAAGCCAGCTGTCTGCACCAGCGTTTTGTGCTGTTGGCTGCAGCACGTATAACCTCGACTCAGTTTCTCTCTTTTTGCCACCAAAGCCTGAAGCATACCGGAGAGGCCTTGGGGCTGTGTGGGCAAAGCCGGTGGTGCCCAAACCTTCCATCTGTCACTCTGTTGTGTCACTGTAGAAGCTTTGTTGGGTATTTAGCGTGTTCATCTGTAAGCCTCACGTTCCCAATGTCTGAGCACTCGAGGATCCACAAGCTCAGGATCTGATTGCTCTGGTCAAGGTTGACGTGGAGCTACCAGGGTGCAGGGCAGGCTCTGCAAATCATTCCAGCCAGGAGCCGAACACCTAGGCTTGCATTGAAAG